GAACTTCCCGACAAATCCCGTCCCTCTGCCTTCCTCGCTCCGCTTGTGGCGGTGGGGTCCGTCTGTCACCGCCGTCCCGCTGCGGCGCTGGGGGATGCGGCGGCAGCTCTCTCCCCTTGCGGATGGGCAGCCCGCAGGGGTTGGCCCCGGTCCCGGCCACGTCCCGGCTGATGGCAGGCAGGGGATGGCAGGATTCGGCGTGTTTGGGAAGCCAGGAGTGCTGGAACGGGGCCAGCCCCGCGGCACAGCCCGCAGCCGCCCTTCAGCCGCTCCCGCTGTCCTGGGCGGCTCTGGGCAGCTGAACCTCGGGCTCTGTTTGCCAGAAGCAGATTAGTGAGCCGGGACTTCCCTGCCGTGAAATAGTGTCCCAGAGACGTCCATTCCTGCCCTTGTTGCTTTAAAATCCTCTTTTGCAGTGTTTCTGGGACTGTGGGATTTTTTAACTCCCGGGACCGTGTTTTGTAGCTGCGGCTGCACAGAGCGTGGTCAGGGTTCGTGGTGTCCCTGCAAGATGTGGGGCACTCGAGCCTTGCTGCGGGGACAGCAACAGCAGGGCTTTCTGCTCTCTGCAGTCACGATGCTGCCCTGCAACTCCTGGAGTGATGGAGGAGATGCTGATTTATGACAGATCCATCCACTCCTTCCTGCTGTCCTCTGCTTTCTGTAGTCCCCAGTGACTGTGCAGGAACTGGCACCCTCGGGAAAAGCAGGGATGGGACAAGACAGGGCAAGGGACAAGGTTCTGTGGATCTCCCTTCACAAATCCCAGTCTGTTCTGTATCCTGCTGTACTCAGGGCAAGGTGCCCAGCCCTTGATTAGCAGAAAAACATCAATTACTATCATTCCATTTCTGTTGTACATGGAATACATAGAACATGCCGCCAGGGATGACTTGAGAAACTTTGATTCTTTGCAAAGCCTTCACTTTCTCTTCTCTGGGAAGGAGCTGCAGCAGTTAAGGAATGACATTGGTGGAAATGAGGCTCTGGGCAGAAGACCTAAGCAGGCAAATAACCATTCCAGTCCCATGTCCCTGCTGTTTCCCTTGGTATTTTTCTGCCTCTCCTGGCTGGGCTGCTTGTCTTGCAGAAACAAGGCTGCTCCCACTCCAGGGAAGTGAGGAAGCAAATACCTCACTAGATCTTGTGTCTGAGCAAGCAATCACATCTCAGATGTGCTGAAAAACCCCAAGAGAGCTTTGCAGTCTGGAGACAAGGAATAAATAATTTCTGGTTGGTGGCTAAACCCAGGCCTGGGGAGGAAATGGGCCAAGAGCTAACCAAAGCAGGAACAGCAGAGATTTATTCTGGGCTGTTCCAGAAAAGTATTGCTTGATAGAAAATGATGAATTCTGCTCTCAGGTGGTTTGACCCATTGCCAAATCATTCTTCCTCCTGTGTGATTCCTGGATCCATTTAGCCAGAACAAGACCCAAAGGCAGAGGGATGTGTTCCTTGGCTGTGGTTGATCCAAGGTGTTCACAGGGGGTTGCAAACAGATCTCCTGCATGATCCGAGTGTGGTTTTGTTTGATGCACAGCCCTAAGAGCTCATGTCTGCAGGGCTGAGATACAGCCTCTGCCAAGGCAAGGACCCAGCCAGACTGGCAGAGGGCTCCAGGCTCTCTCTCAAGCCAGTGTAAGTGTCTTGGCCATGGTGAAATAGTGCCTGGGCAGGTGGGGACAGCCCTGAACTGTCCCTGTGGCACACAGCAGCTTCTAGCAGCAACCAACTCCATCCCTGGAGTACTGCTTGGAACAGGGGAGAGGCAGCACAATTTTGTATAAAGAGCAGGTTAAAAAAAAAGTCTCAGTGTCTGAGAGTCTCAGACTGAGAGGCCAGGAGAGTGGGGTGGTGAGGGCTGAAAACAGCCATGCCTTCACTCTCAAACTTCTCCCAGTGCTGTGTCCCAGCTGAGCTGTGCAGGCAGCTGTGCTGGGGGGCACGTACACATTTGCTACAATTTGTTGTGATAAATCCTGCTCACCTGGGCACAAACCTGTGAGTCTGGGGCTTCAGTAGCTCCCCAAGAGTGACACAAAAGCCTGTGGAAGGCAATTCTCCCTCCCATGCATCCCCTCACTGGGGTTTTACCCTGTTTGACTTCCATTAGCTGTATTTAGCTCAGGTCTGGGTTCTGTATGTTAAATCTCGAAAATGAACTGGGAAGAAAACCTCAGCCCACACATTCTGTCCTAGATCTCCTCCTGCTTGGCTGGCACCAGAATTGCAGCCATTGCCTCCCTGCACTGCCTTGAGAGCCATGCAAAACCTCTCTTCCCTCAGCAGGTTAGACCAAAATATCTCATTTCCTTGCAAGTATGGGAAGTTGGAATTATTTTGCCTTGTCCCTGCAGCCCATGCCAAGCCAGCAATGTTGACTGGAAGTGATCTGTCTATGTCTGAATTAGCCCCCAGACTAACTCAAGGTGTAGGGAGGGATATTTGCTCTTCCCCTAAGGCAGAGCAGCCAGACAAGCCTTTTCAGGAGGGTGTTACAAGCTGTACCTGCTTTTCTGTAGGGCTGTGGGGTGGTGAAGTCAGGTTACCTCTGCCCACCCAGTGGAAATAATTTCCTTTTGCTAGGAAAAAGGATTGCTTTGATTGCAATGGGGCTCAGCAGTGGTGATGTCAGACTGTCACCAAACCCAAACCAAACTAAACAAATCAACAATAAAAAACCTGGAAAAACCTAGAGGGGGTCTGAGAAGTTGTGGGAGAGGTCAGTCTGTGGCTGAGGATGGTGGAAGAGTCAGGACAACTACAGAACTTTGTTGCTGGGAGATTTTTACTATCATGACTCAGTCATGTCCAGCCTGAGGTTTCAAGGGCTAACTAGCCACATCTTCCCCACACTGGGGTTTTTGTTCTTGTTTAATGTTTATTTGGTAACTGGAAGGCCACAGGGATTTCCGCTGTGCTGTCCCTCCACAGAACCCAAGAGCTTTTCCTGAAGTCATTAGGAAAATCTCTTGGCTGATCCAGGCCAAATTTTACTGTTATTACTAAGTCATGAAGCAATTCATGAGTTGTCTCTATTATGAATCCCATTTAAATTATTAATAGAGGAATCTGCCTTTTATACATGTTCTCTGTAAACCCTGGACTCTGGAGGCTTTCTGGTGCTCATTCCAACCAGCTCCACTCCCTCCATAATTAATGCTTCTCTCTGCATTAACTACTCCCAAAGACAGCACTGCAGGGCGCACTCAGTCTTGTTGCACATCCCAGCATCAGTATTTGACCTGGAAATAGTATGTAACACCAAAATATACAGCACTGAGATGCAGGAGCCCCCTGGTAATGAATTCTTAGAGTGCTTCCATATCCAGCTGCTCCTGTGCATATCCTTCCCTCTGCACAGGGAAAAGGTCTGGGCCCTAGGGAAGAGCCAAGGCAGGGAAGTTTCCCCCAGGAAAGGGGTGACCCATATCCTCTGGCCCAGAGATTTCTGCCTCCCAACATTCCCCCAGATCCTGTGCAAGCTCCCAGCTCACGAGGCTTCTCTGAATGTACAAGTGACCTGCAAACCGCCCAGGCAGGGAGGAGGGAGAAATCTCTGGCTGTGGATCTGGGCACAGATCCACAGAGGTTGCTGCCTCTCAGCACACAGGTCTGTGCAGCAGCCTGTATCTGGCAGAGGTGCAAGGCTCTCTCCTTCCAACAGCTCTGCTCAGGAGGTCAGGCTTTTCCCAGGACAGGTTCAGTGTTTGGGATGTGTTTTCCATGGGCAAGTGCTGATTCACTGAGGCAAGCATTCACTGAAGTGTATCGGCATGAACAGGCTCCAGGCAGGTTATGGGGTGGTGCTTTATGCAAGGCAGGATGCTGATTTCCTGCCAGTCCACATCCCTGCATTGTTTGTGGTCCTTAAGCTCCTTGGCTTTTGGTTTCAGCCCACTTCTTTAGGATCTGTGGGGTGCAGGACCCATGATACCGGGTGCTGTGAATCCCACATGTCCTCCCTGGGTATGGAATCAGGCCTTGATCTGCTGGGTCTGTTCAGGCATTTGATTAAGCACATTCCTTCAGACTCATCCTGCGTTTTACAAGAAGTGCAGTGCCTGAAGTGGTGCCAGGGTTGGTCATACCCCAGGGCACTTTGGGACAGGACTGGATGTGCATGGAGGCTCCCCTGCATATTGAGGAGGTACTGAAGCACCTTCAGGGTGGAGATAAAGGACTGAGGTGTCACAGGATGGAGCAAGGCTGCTGGAGCTCCAAAAACACAAACCAAGCAGATGCAGCTGAGTGTAGCAGATGGATGCAGAGAGTGGGGAGGTTTAGTCCCAGCAGCTTTCTGGCTCATCCCTGCAGCCTCAGAGGTGACAGGGGACCAGTAACAGAGGGGACACTCTGTGTTTGCCAGAACTGCAGCTTCAGGAGCACTCCTGTCATGAAAGACAAAGCCCAAACCACTTCTAAGCGAGAAGCCTGGTAGCAGAGTGTTTATTTTAACTCATGTCCTGTGAAAGGGTTGAAAGTGCTTCAGTTTCCTCAAAGGATAGGAATGTTTATCAGTGGCTCTGCAAACAAAACCCAGATACCAGCAGAGCTAAGGGAGGGGTTCTGTTTGCACTTAGGTCAGGGATTTTGAGGGACACAGACAGGAGCAGAAGGGAAGATGAGCTCCCCGGGGATGTGGCATGGGTACCAGGGCCGTGGGCTGGCAAGGAAGCTGCTCCATGTGGGAGCTGCTTAAGACGTGATGGCTCTGACAAGCACGGCTCCCTTGTCCCTTCTGCTCAGAGATGGGAGCGGTTGGGGGCTTCCTGTGGAGGCTGGAGAAGCAGAGGGACTCCATGACTTCAAACCTGTCATTTTGCAGCAGGGAATGCTGTGAGTCCACAACATTAAGGCAGCACAAAGCCAGCCCAGTGATCCAGCAAGGTTGCCTGGCTGTGGCAGCAGCTGTGTGCAGCAGCTGCAGGAGATGCTATCTTTGCTAAATAGTTTTCAACTTAATCCAGTGACTCCAAAGTCCTCCCAAAGGGGTTTTCCAACAGGCCTGTGTGAACCAAGGCTGCTACTGCCCAGCAGCTTCCCAAGCTGGGGTAGGAGCATCTCTCCTGCTCACTCTCCATGGCAGGCTGTGCTTTACTTTCCCTCCCATCTCTCCTCTCTTGGACAGGGCACAGTGTGTTTCAGGCCTAAAGCTCATCCCATAGCACATTTCATTAATTACAGAGATGGACAAAGGGGTGGGAATTCCTCTCTAGACAAGTGGCAGAACCAAACATGACAGATCTGGGGGCTGGGTGGGTCCTTCTTGATCCTGCTGCATTTGCTGCCACATCCCCCCACCTACCTGTGTGCCCCTCAGCTCCCCCATCACCTGCACCTTCACTGATGCCTTTTTATCTGATCCTTGCAGACAATCCTAGTTGGAGACAGCGGTGTGGGGAAGACGTCTCTGCTGGTCCAGTTTGACCAGGGCAAATTCATTCCTGGTTCCTTCTCTGCCACCGTGGGCATTGGGTTTACGGTAAGAGCCCAGTCCCTGGACTGTGCACTCACCCTTGGGGAGCAGCTTTATTTGGGAAATCAGAATCTATGAATCTGTGGTAAGCACCAAGAATTGGATACTTTGTGTTGGTGTTGCTGGATGAGGAGCTTGGTTTGGCTGTGTGCTTTGGACTGCTGGGAGGGATGAAGGATTCCTAAAGCTCCATATTCCAAAACCCTTGGTGGGGCCGTGTCTGAGTGCAGCCTAATGCTTCACACAAAGGGCTGCCTTTGGAGCTGCCCTGATCTGCCAGGGAGATGCCAGCCTGTGTCCTGCTTGTGTCCTGCCCGGGGCCCTGGTGAAAAGTCAGGCAGATGGTGATGGTGCCTGGGAAAAGCACTCGGCTGCCATCCAGAGCTATTTGCAGAGCTGCCGTGGGGTCTCAAGTGACTCTGATGTGTGTGTCCCCTCTCCTGGGGTTGCTCAGGACAGGGACAGTGGTTGGGGACCTTATTCCAGAGAGACTCTCATCCCTTCAGCATTGTGAAAAGGCTGGAACTCAGCAAAGGGCTGGTACCCAAGGGGATGTGATTACCCAAAGGAATTTTGGTTTTAGTCCAGGCCAAGGAAGCAGGAAAATGTGGCACCAGTGGGGATTGTGTGGGGCCAAGCAGCCAGGGACCAGCAGCCAAGGGTGCCCCTGCTGAGCTGTGGACAGGCAGGGGAGGCTCAGCCACACCACTGATCTCTGCCACCTTCCAGCTGCTTCATTTCTCCCACAGCAAATTCCAGTGTGTGCAAGTGATGCTCAGCCATTCATTTTTCCTGCCTGGGCAACACTCTGAGCTCCAGCATGGTTTGCCATATCCTTCCAGCCCCCTCCCCATCTTGCTGAGGGAAGCTCAGCCACTTCCAGGAGCTCCGACTGCCTCCAGCCTCCATCTCTGGGCACTTTCCTGGCCAAAGAGCACACATAAACTATAAATCCCCCTGCTGGGTCTGAACGCAGTTACAGGACTGGAAATACAGGTTCTATTTCCCAGGGGGCAGAGGAAGGCTTGGCTGGTGCTGGAGTCAGCAGCCCCAGAAGGCACGGACATGGATGCCATTCCAGAGAGCATCTCTGCTGCTCAACCTCCTGCAGCCACACCTGGCCTTCACCTGGAGAGCAGCAGGGTCACAGCTCTGCACTGGAGCCCTGCATCCCGGAACCCCAGTGGTGTGAGCAGGGATGGGGGATGCCCTGAGATTAGCCCAGATGTGGGAGAGATGAGATATTCCAGGGAAAATAGATCAGGGAGGGTTCAGGGCTCCTGTTCATGAAGCGATGCCTGTAAGGCTGAAGACCCTGGGCAGCTTTAGTGCATAGACTTGTATGGGGTTTTATGGGACGGGGTTTTGGGTAATACAACATCCATCTCCGGGGATTTCTCCCACATTCCCATGCTTGGGCTTTTCCCAAATGAAGTGCAGTATGAACTGGGCCCCAGTGGCTGGTGTAGGATGCAGGGGGCTGCGAGCAGCCGTGGGGAGCGGGAGGCCTGGCAGCCCAGGTGAGACACAGGCACCATTGAACCGGCTCGACATAACAGCTGCTGTTCCGCTTCCCTCCCGGCTTCCTGCCCCACGGTGCTCACCCGGGGCCCAGCTCAGCACCGCTGGGGCTGCAGCAGGTGGGGTAAACCTCCCATCCTGGGGTGGGCTGCTGGGCTGGGAGTGGGAGCCGCCATCCCCGCTGTCCCGGCGTGGCTGGGTGAGATTTGGCAGCACCGAGGACTCCGTCCCCACACTCTGTGAGGAGTCTGTTCATTTGTGGGGTGAGCAGCTCCTCCTCTCCCCACCCATGTGTCCGGGGGGATGTGCCGGGCTCTGCCCGCGTCCAGCGCGGCCGAGCCGAGCAAACCCCAGCACGGCGGCGGCCCCGCTGCGGGGTACAGTGGGGCAGGTGTCCATCCTTCAGC